GACTATATATCTGTTTACTGTAATTCAGTTCCTTTGCGACCAGTTTCCTGATGATGTTGTCAGCCAGCATAATGTGACCGAATAAAACGTGCCTCCGTAGGCCCCTATGCCCTCCTGGTGATACTGGTGAGGTATAACGAGGTTTTCGTCATTGCATTGATGACTTGAAACTTAGCTCTAGGCTACGAATTATTGATGCTAATTCCCCGTGACAAATGCACGTGTTGATGCTAGTGTTAAGTTGAGTTACTGCCTGCCAGTACCCGTGATGTCTAAAACACTGTTACCTTGTCCATGCGGTGACAACATCTTTACCACCCTACACAAATCGTTTCTCTTCCTGCTGATTTCTCCTATGGGTGAAAACCCCATTATTTCACTTTCAATTCCATCTCCATTCTCTGGGATGTTTGTCGCAAGAGACCAAATTGCGTAAAATTGAGTCATTACTTTTCTCTTCCGGGGTACTTTATTTCTGATTGACAGGACGTATGCAGAACAGTGGAATGATTTTGGGGAGTAATCGCATGCGGAAAGCAGTGAAACCAATTACGAGTAATGTATTACCATAAACAAGGTAAATGCAACTGCCGCCTTAGAAGCAATAAGGTTACACCTGAGATGAGTAAACCTCGAGGTACCCAATCAACGTTGACATTCGAGACAAATGACGTTTCTCACACTTGGCCGACCTATCAGAACTGGTCCAGTAGTAAATGAGCGACTCCAGGCACACATTCACATTGTTATATAGTAATGTTCTTTTTGAATTGTCGTCAACCTGAACACACTACACTCTTGACATGATTACCCTCGCCATAAAAAAAAGGCGACAAAATAACAAGATGTGTTAATAGTAACATGATTGTTCAGCAATACAATTAATTGTATGCATTATTGTATCTTACAATATTCTTTTTATTTCCTGTTATTGTTCGTGATTTAACTTTTTCCAAATAAGATTTCGATTGTCACGTATTTTTAAATAATAAAATAAATGATTATGTTCGGAGACTTTCAATTGTATTATTTTTTCTTCGGAACACGCACCTTCCACAAGATAATGTTCGAATAAGCAACGCTGTACTTAAGTATTGAACTGTTTTTTGTATGGTATTTATGACCTATTTGAATGACACAGCTTTGCAAGCAAACAACATAATGCTCGCCAGCTGTGTCATTCAAATAGATCATAAATACCATACAAAAACAGTTTAATACTTATATTTACGTCTTCTCTTACTCTTATGTTCTTTTTTAACTTATAATTTATATCTAAAATTAAAAATGTCCGCCTTATCGACAGTCCACACAATTTCGTTCAATTATTTGAACAGCGTATTGTCGCGTGCTGATTGGCAAACAAAGTAGTACTTCGAAATTTTAACAAACACTCCAATTTTATTCCACAATTCAGTATCAATACAATTGCGTATGATATGTCTATAGGGTGATTTAAGTTTATCAATAGAAATCTGAGCTGAAAGTTAGATTTTAAATTGTTCCTATTTTTCCACGGAACAAATTTCGCGCATGGATAAATACAGTGAACACCGTGAATTCGACCTTGATCTCCACGAGGGAGTTATATTTGGAAGTTAATTCGAAAGTTTCTCTTTGCTCATTTCGTGAAGAATCCAGACGTGAATTTATTTGTTGATTGTATTGGACTCTTCCTACAATCGGTAGATTCTATAACGGCCTCGTTATTTGACATGTCCTGATCAGAAACTGGGGAAACCGTGGCTGCGAGACGCGTGAAACTGATATCGTTTCAAAGTGATCTTGCGACGGAGCACATGGCCAGTGGTTCGTTACAAATGTCTGAAATGTTTATGTGTGCTGTGACTCTTATCAGTAGGTCTGTAACATATGTGTCAGTAGGTCTATAGAATATGTGTATTGCAGACATTTGTAACGAACCCCTGTTGATCAGTGCAGTGTAACAGACAATATTTCTGATAAATTTCATGACTCCATGAGTGTTAAAATTGTTTCCATTGCCGGCATTGGTGATTTCACCCGATGTGCATTTTGTACGACATTGCAGACCTTTGTCTTGTTTTTGTTGTAATAATAATAAATGTTGGGTTTTTTTACTTTTTTCTTTTGCACATATTAAATTAACAATGACATTGTCAAGTCTCACAATGCCCAGCGATATTTCAGCAGCCGTCATGTTTATTTACATTGGATATTGTAGTTCCGGTCAGTGTTGTATTAATACGATAAGAATTGTGTCTCGTGCTGCATGGTAATTTAAGTCCCATCAACGACACAGCTTTCAAAGAGGGTATATAGTGACAATGCCATGCAAAAATAGATATAATGCATTGAAGACATCTATCGCACTATACAGGAATATGATTTTGTAGGGTTTTTTTATAAGCTTCTGTCTGATATATATTTTTTGATCGATTATAGCATCCTCGAAAACAGCTACGGTCATATAAAGATGGGTGCATAGAGCAACACCATCGAGAGGACAGAGTAGGTGAGATGGAAAAGATGGAAATCCTTAGTGTTCCCCTGGAAGCTGCAGATTATCTCTTCAATGCCCTCTAGGTAGAAGATACCTCAGAACCCCTTAGTTTCGAAGGAGGCCCCAATTGGATCTCCTCTTATGATAACATGCAGTTTGGTACAGCAGGTCTATTGGTTTGTCCAGCGTCCCCTAAGCAGAAAATGAGATAAAACAACCCCCGATTCTGCAAGGAGAGGGTGTTATGATATGATCACTTTATCACTTGCTTTGCAATATATATAGAAGTTATTTACGTCGAATTGCAGTAAATGTGGTAGGATATGTTTATGGATAATATAATTAAAACATAACGGAATAAGCTGTTAAAGATTAGACGGCTTGGATTTGTATTTACATGTGACTTTAAAGCCAGGATATATACGTTTTCCGTCGAATAACTTCAAAAATATTATCCGTTTGTCGGTACAATCGTTACCAGTCACTGAACGGTTACTATTTTTTTTCAAATTTGCTGTTAAATATGTATGCATTTTAAATAATGTGTTTATCTACTGTGTCTATCGTAGTGATCTACAAAGTGACTAAAGCTTGTGATCAGTAGGTCGGATGAATTCCACACTTTAAAACCCCATTGAGGCCTGATATATGTCACAGGGTACATGAAGGCTCTTGATAAGAGTTTGGTTCAAATAATAAGCGTTACATACACTGTGTCTATGTGCTAAGCTTACTGTTCGTGATTGTGAACGCTGACGCATGCCTTTATCTCTGAGTGATAATCCGTATTTCCTACAGAGAACCACAAACATTTCATCGTGACGATGATGGACAGAAGTCCACAACCACAGCATTTTGACGATCAAAGACTGATATTCAAAATCATTTGAGGTGGAAAAAGACCTATAAACATGGTAGAGTGAATGTTGGCAACACATAGCACAAAACATAGCACAAAACAAAAACCACCGCAGTGTCAACACACATGGACATGTTTGAATCAAATTGTATATAATGAACACTAGAAACTCGGACGACACAAAATAATAAGAGAATTAAGCCACTCAACTGATAAAATAACTAGAAAACGTAAGCGTTTTCTGCACCAGATATATAACAAAAAGCAGAGGCCCATGTGTTCCGGAAGAGTAAGCGTTCCTGTGTCACATGAATAGCAGTAGCATTTGGTCAATTGTGTATGGTAATGTAAATACGTTAACGATTACTACATACATATATTGTCTAAAACATGAGCCATATATATAAGATGGTTGAATACTGATATATTTATACCTGGTATACGATAAAATATCTTATCAAATACGTGTAAAATACTTCTAACTGCATAGTATATCATGCTCGGTATAGGAAGAATCTAAAATCATTAATTGAAAGCATTCGAGTTAGTGTATTTCCGATCTTTACAGAAGTCATTCTGCAGTAGGTACCCTTTGTAACTTTTGAAAATAAGCTTACCAAAGTAAGATTATACGATAAAAGAACCGTTGTTTTATTTCATGAAAAACAAAGCATTTGTTGAAGCCACATGGCCTTAGACTTTCAGCGCACAGTAATACAATTCTATTGGATTGACTATCATTGAAAAACCTACTGTAGTTCGTAATAAATTCGTTTTATTGATTTCACTTGCGCAAATAAAATAAACAGAGTTTGTTCCGAGACATTATCTCATTGCGCGGAGTCACTCTTGAATGGCAACTAAGGTCCTTGAAGACCAATTCAAACATTCCTGTTATTTCACTCCTTCTTTTGTCAGAGCATTGTGTACCAGTGATGACACAAAGTAATGGAGTAAACCATCCAGACTCTATGTCGGCAGTTTATAATGTTAATTGTTTTTTTATAATTATTAAAATGTGCTATGTGCATTATAGCAGGAAGAAGCTAGCCCTATACTCCCTCAAGATACCTGGAATAGATAAGGTAGTACTTGGTAAAATCATCTAGATCTGAAAACGCAGGAGTGTGTCATTACCAAAAACTGGCATAGGTGCGGGAACCTTTCTTGTTGTTGGCTGAAGGATTGTCTTAATTATGCTTGTACAAGAATGTGTGTCCCTGTTATCGAAGATGTGCCTGAAACACCGTTACGCGTCTTGTGCCATTTAGGTGTGTCTGGCTTGTCAGCGGGTCATCATGTTTCAAAGTGTATTGGCATGGTTCTTCATGTATTCAGACAGCTGGTCAAAGTTGCGTAAATTGGCTTGCTTATATATTCGATGCGGTACTATGATTTCATTATTTAGAATAACATGATTGTATCGATACACTTTGTCTCCCCCAGTGTTGTAATATGCAGTATTATAAAGATTTTTAAGCAACGGCTTCATTCATTTTGACGACAAATGTTGTTTTTGTTTTCCCCATTCCTTTTTTGTTAGATTAATACTTACCTTTTACATATATATTTATATATTGGGTTTCGGTACATACCTTTCTTGTTAGATTAATACTTACCTTTTACATATACATCTATATATTGGGTTTCGGTACATACCTTTCTTGTTGGCCTCGAAGCTATCATGAGGTTTAACATCTTGCATCTCATATACAAGTAATGTATGGGATAGAATGTCATTCATCAGGTTAATCTCGTCAATGGCGTGCATCAACGCTAGCTTGGGTCCGGTGTGCTCATTCTCGAACAGCCCACCTAAAGAACAAAGATACGATCAAACCGTTATTTAACAAAGAACAAACATGTATATTATGAACATGTCTCTCACATTTTATCAGTTCTTCCACTTAAATGAGTATCAATTAACTGTGACAATAAGACGATCTGGAGTTTAATTGTTACTCGAGGAAAATGTTTTGTAGAAAACCAAAATATGCACTGTTGTGTAATGAGCGTTGAATAACAGCCAATTAGTGACGATTTAGAAGCTATGATGTAAGTCGGCACATATCCCAAGGTTAACAGTTCATGTCATTGAATCGTTTTGTGTGAATAGTACATGTCAACGCCAAACATCTTTGACAAAAACATATAAATACTCAATTTAAGCATGATAAAAAGGTCAAATATGTATATCAACATGTGCTAAGATAGACGTCATTCATTTTAGCTAGCAGGCTATAATGAGTTTTAAAAAACCGGTATATGTACATGTCTTTGTCGCAGTTTGTGCTGGGGGAGGTTAATCAAAGTACACGTGCCATTTGTCACGGCTTTAGGAACACTATCATCATCTGGCCTTAACCATAGCCAAAAATGATAACAATAATTGCACACGTGTATGTCCTAAAAGATTGGTGATTGGCATGTTCTACGATAGATGTGTATAGAATAGTCAACAAAGTACACTTCAGATCAAACCGCAAAATTGTTGTATTCCGTCTTTTCGTATTGCAGAGTTATCTGCTCTTGTGAGCAGGTATCGATTGTTACGACATTAGTTTGTGTGAGAAAATAACGTCGTTTTCTCAAACATTTATGACGTTACTCTCAGAAACAAATGACGTAACAATCAATACCTGATCACAAGAGCAGATAACTCTGCAATTCGAAAAGACAGAATATACCAATGGCGACCGCATGTTAAAGAAGCCATGATACCAATATAATGTCTGTGTATCGTGATATGTGCCTTTGTTTATTATAACACGACAGATACTGTAAACACAGATTATAGCGCATTTATTTTACTGCATTATCAAGTTTTAAAGATTAGCGCATTGGTTGATTGGCAAACCTACAAAATATATAAAATAGAAATCAATATACGGAAACCTAAATTAGAACAATTATATTTTAGCGCATATGTTACAGCGAAAAGGACTTCTAAAATAGGGTTATTGCGTAAATATGTGCGAATAGTGTGTATGAAAGTGTTTTACAAACAAACACAATAAGTGTTCTAAATTCAATAGTTATCAGAATATATATATAATATATATGTTCACGCGTACTTTCATGTCGCACATTTTCAAATATCTAAATAACCAGCTAACCGTGACAAATGTTGAACATCACATGCAATTAAACTGTAATCTTCACATGTGCACTATAGAATTCCGGATCCGGTACTTCCTGGTAATTGATTTTTGTCACCAATGCGAGCTACATTTAGGATCAGATCTGATAGCTGGACTACTTTGAGACACATCATGTCTTTTAAATAAAAAGGCCTGCATGTATTCAATGATGGGTTGAGTGTTAAGTATCCGATCAAATCAATACTGGTATCCATGTTCCTTTTATGTTAAAGCAGCAGTTTAACAATATTTTTCATGTTTAATTACTTCTGACGCACACACTCATATTTCGTACGATTGAAAAATCTTGTATACAATGAACAAACAATATTTATGACGATCCTAATAAAAACAAGTTTACTCACGGTTATAATTCCAATCAAGTTATTAACATATAATATTCAAAGTATCATTTATAAATCACGGTAAATATTGCCCCCCACCCCCCTCCTTCCCCAGGGGGTAAACGTGAGACCCTAGGGTCATAAACCCTAAGACCATTCCATCTATGAAGAGTGTTTTATTCTACCATATCTGGGTCTTGAGAAGAATATTTTTGAAATTTCAGTCAATTCAACCCTTTTTGGCCCCACCCATCAGCCCCTGGGGGTCAGCCAGGGATATTGTGTGCATACTATCAAACTGCTACCTAATACTGATAATTGAATTACTTCCAATAGAAATTAAACAAATGTTGGTCCAAAATGCGATTTCTCTATTATAAACTATAGTTAAGTTTACCCCCTCCCCAGGGGGAAACGTGAGACCCCAGGGTCATGAAATTCACAATTTTGGTAAAACACCTTAAGACCCTTGAAGCTATGAAGAGTATTTGATTCTACCATATCTGAGTCTTGAGAATAAGATTTTTGAAATTTCAGTCAATTCGACCCTTTTTGGCCCCACCCATCAGCCCCGGGGGGTCCGTCAGGGCTCATATGTGCATACCACCAAACTGCTACCCAATACCGATAATGCTAACCAAAATTGAATTACCTCCAATGGCAATTAAACAAATGTTAGTCCAAACTGTGATTTCCCTATATAAACTATCGTAAAGTTTACCCCCTCCCAAAGGGGGAAACGTGAGATCCAAGGGTCATGATCACAATTTTGGTAAAACACCTTAAGACCCTTCCATCTATGAAGAGTATTTGATTCTAACCTATCTGGGTCTTGAGAGAAGATTTTTGAAATTTCAGTCAATTCGACCCTTTTTGGCCCCACCCATCAGCCCCTGGGGGTCAGTCAGGGCTGATATGTGCATACTATCAAACTGCTACCTAATACTGATAATGCTAACCTAAATTGAATTACTTCCAATGGAAATTAAACAAATGATGGTCCAAAATGTGATTTCCCTATATAAACTATAGTAACGTTTACCCCCACCCCAGGGAGAAACGTGAGACCCCAGGGTCGTGAAATTCACAATTTTGGTAAAGCACCCTAAGACCCTTCCATCTATGAAGAATATTTGATTCTACCATATCCGGGGCTAGTATTCATGAAACCGTTCTCATGCTCCAGCATGGATTTTGTGCTCAAACCAACATTCTTGTAATTATAACTGATCACTAAATCATGCCAAATGATCAAAACGTCAAATGGAAACATTGAAAACAGTATTCGACTGTAATTCTATGCAAAGTTTTTCCAAATCATTGACAAAATAAAATTGTATTATCAAATTATAACCGGAACAAGAAATCAGGCTTGGGCACAAAATCCATGCTTGAGCATGAGAACGGTTTCATGAATACGGGCCCGGGTCTTGAGAGGAAGCTTTTTGATTTTTTAGCCAATTTGACCCTTTTTGGCCCCGCCCCTCAGACCCCTGGGGGTTGGGGACCAAATCGGCCAATATTTTTCGTTGACCATTGGCCAAGGAGGGTTTCTGCAAAATTTCATTGAAATTGGTTAAGGGGTTTTTGAAGTCGAAAATGTAAATTGTTTACGGACGCACGACGGACGACGGACGACCTCGGACAAAAGGCGATCGCAATAGGTCACTTAAGACTTTGTCTCAGGTGACCTAAAAACTGCTGAGCATGCTTAACGAATCTAACGTCTCAGTTTTTTCCTAATTTCCCATTAGATAAATATGAAACGAGCTTGGTGTGGCAATTCCAGAGAATTAGTAGAAGGTCATCTTCAAAAAAATAATTGATAAACTAAAACGGAGTGGCATCACATGACGATAATTTGTAGACTCCAGATCGATGAAGTTACCATAGGAACCCTTTATAGCGCATTCCTATGTTATATAGATGGATCCCTTCGGTATGTGATAACGTTTGACAGGGGATGTAGACTGATCAAAAACTTGAGAATACTGACGCTGATCTTACAAGTAATTACTTAATCATATACAGTTTTAGAAGTTTCTAGTGCCAAAGCGTTGTCCATAAGTCTTTTCCCTAGCCTCTCCGACCCCCTCCGAGTAGGTGTTTATCGAGTGTATTTCTGGAAAGTCACGGTGTATGTGAAATACACGTGGCTGAGGAGATACATCACTGTTGTTGTAGACTCCGACATTCCCTCAAACACGCCGCCATCTTGGCATGTGGTCGTTTTGAGGAATAACAGCCAACAATACAAGCGCAAAACTGACATCAGACAAGCAACTGTTCGGCACGTGCATCATGCACTTAATTAGTTACATCACGTGTTTATATTGAAGTCCGTGCTCTCTGCATACCCTTACAATAATATTGACATATCAGAGATGATCCAAGGAATAATTATCACAAATGTGCTGCTGGTGTTTCACTCATGTCTTTATAACGAAGAAAACACAGATAGCAAATTAGCGGGATACTTTTTGACGTAACAGCAGGAAGGCACCGCGGCATACTGAAGGATACGGAGTAATGGCGATCATCAGGTCTACTAGGGTATATCTAATGAATACGTATACATAACTATACCGTATATCTTGCGTGGTACAATTTGCTCGTCCTACATGAACAGGAACATACAGTTACACATCGAAATACATAAAACAAAGTAAACGCATTACCAGGATTATAAACACATGTACATTTTTCTGTCAAGCGTCGATGGCACGGGATTGGCAGATAGAGTCTATACGTTTGGCCAGCTGTTGACGCAGTTACACAAATACAACAGTACAAATGTGACAGGTAGATAAACGTGAGAGCAGACAGAGAATGTCGTGTAGCGGTGTCCACAGAACGTGTTTATAAAATGTAATTACACCAACAACATGAATGCAAGGTACTAGTTAAGATGTATATCCGACATGGCATGTTGTCCTAAACATCAATTCTGCATGTTTTGATGTGAAAACATGCACATCCTACTTGGCATATTGTCTTCAAACTGTATTGTATAAGCGTTGTCTAAAAACACAGGTACGTCCCGTGTGCTTTGTATGGGAGGTACGAACCAGAATGTGAATACCGTGAATATGAAGAATACATCAATTTTGACAATACAGAAGGTGATCGGACGCTCGAAAAGCAGCTTGACGTAGATTAACACCATGATAAATGGACCCCTCACCTCTGACCTTTCACCCTGTTTTGCATGAAGCGATTATGATGCAACTCGGATTCAATCCCAACAGTTGTTGATATAATAACTGTCCAAATGGACAGTTCCAATCAGAACACGGGATAAAAAATACACGCTAATATAGTTTTCCCCATT